CCTGCTGCTCGCTTTCCTGGGCGTGCTGGCCGCCGTACTCGTCAAGGTAAGCCCGTGCCGTGCAGGGACTCCCCAGCCCCTCTGGTGCTGCCCCAGTAGCTGCCAGAGGCATTTCCTGCCCTTGTCTCGGGAACCGTCCTGGTGTTCTAAATTAACTCTTACCCAGATTCTGCGTTAGCTTTTGGTGTCTCAGACGTGGTTGGCAGACTGCAGGCCAGCCCCGCGTTTCTGGTGGTAAAGTTCTCGGCCTGTAACCTGTGGCACCCCCGTTGTCGGCAGCCGCGTTCCTGCTGCAGATGCAGAGCTGAGCAGTTAGAGCAGAGGCTGCCCGCGCCCAGATCCAGAGAGAGCGGTTACAGAAAAAGCGCGTCCAGCCTCTGCTCTCAAAATCTGAAACTGCAGGTCTTGCTTCTAGACCTCTGAGCTGTCTAACCCTCTGATCCACCTGCTGCGGGCCTTTCCTCTTCAGTACCAGCTTTGTCCTTAAATGTGCGTGAAATCAGCATGCCATGCGTGGGAGGAGGAAATTTTGCGGTGGACGGTGGTGCTGGCGCAGCAGCCTGGCTGAAGGACCTTTTGTGTGGCGTGTGCGTGGTCTCTCCAGAGTGGACTACCGAATCACGTTCGTGGTGGCTAGTCGTGGAGCGGGGCTTACCACGAGGCCTCGGTGACCGCGGCCTTCCTGAGGCAGTTTGTGTGTCCCTGGGGTGAAGGAGGAAGTCGCCAGCAGTGAAAGTGCGGTTGGACTGGGGAAGGCCGTGGTGTCCCAGAGCCCTCTGCCCGCCAGCCGAGGAGGCGCCCTGAACACACTGACCCTGGGATTCCGTGTGAGCTCCTGACCACCCGGTCCGGACTTAAACCACGGTCACCATGTGGCAGCCCAGTGCCATCCCCGCTACGCCACCTGCTGGCCGTAAGAAACATGACCTGAGTGGAGTAGCTGTTTCTGTTTTATTTAAGCTTCGGAAGGGGGTCCAGTCTCACAGCTTGGGTGGAATGGGAGACACAGTTGCATTTGAAATCATTTGGGTTTTCTCAGAAATCCCACGCTGTGCTGAGGAGAAAGGCCCTGTTGACTTTTCTGGTAGCTCACAGACTGCGGCGGTCCCGTGAGCAGTGACGAACCGCTGACCACAGAGCCCAGCTCTGCCTGTTCAGAGCGAGGTAGGAACCCCTCGTTTTCTGTCTGTGTGTCAGGTGGGCCGCGGAAGGGGCTTCCCTCCTAGCTCTTTTCCTGTGGTCAGAGGCTGAGGGGCTCCTGGAAAACGAATGAGTGGCTGACTTGTCTCTAGCCATTTTGGACCTTGGCAAAGACATGTGGAGAAAAACCACTCTGAATCATTATTATTTTGATGAAAAAAGAAGTCTGGCTTTGGAATCCACCTAGCAGACGTAGTGAATCAGAGGGCACGGTGCAGCGGAGGGGCTTCCTCCCCGCACTCGGCGTCCTCCCAAGGCCGGAGACGAGACCAGAGCCACGCTGAGCTCTCTGGTCATTGCCCGCCCTGAGCTTTCCCCTTCCTGGGGCGTCAGCGCCCCTGCCCAGCAGGCGTTTTCTTGGTAAGGTAGGATTTCTCAGCCCTCATGGAAACAGAGAGATCCCGGCTGAGTCGGTGCCCCCGCTCCCTGGCTTGTCAGCTCCCCAGGGGTTCCCCCCACAGGCAGGGAGCTTGCTCCGCCAGGCCGGGCAGAGCCTGAAGGGTTCGGCAGGTGGGGCTTTTTTCTTAGGGGCTCCAGAAAAAGCAACATATGAAAACCTCTAGCTGGGACAAGAAAGCCTGGCTTTGACTCTTGACCCTGGTGCTGACTTCACATGACTTCAGGCAGGACCATGGCCGAGGCCTCACTTGGGCAGAGCGAGGGGGCAGGCCGCGGCTGCCAGGACCCGTCGCCCGTGGTTGGTGCATTTGTCATTGCCGTGTTCTGGACTGTCTGGGACAAGGTGAAGCTGCGATTTCTTCCTCCCTCGCTGCTTCTCTGCTCGTCTCGCTGAACTTCCCATCCTGCTCTTTGTTTTAATCAAAGCACCGTTTATTAAACAGATGACTGAGTCTATGTCACATATTTCCTGGAGGAGTCTTGATTTATTGTAAGTACACACATTTACCCAAAATGGCCTTGGGGCATTTAATGGTTTACTTATTTCATTATACGTCTGGGGACCAGCAGTTGGCGTAATGGCTATGTGGCTGGAATCCCATGTTGTCGACCGTGGTTCGAGTCCTGGATCCAGTGTTAAACTCACGCCAGGTTCATGTGCGTGTGTGCCCAAGATCCCGAGAGGAGGGAACCAGCAGTTAGCGTAATGGCTATGTTGCTGGATTCCCACGTAGTCGACTACGGTTCGCGTCCAGACCCAGTGGCTTAGAACTCGCTCCGGGCGCGTGTGCGTGCATGCCCTAGAGGAGAAGGGATTACGGCTTGGCCATCCCCCTTGGGGGGTGATTTCTCTCTTTCTGTCTCTATGTCTCTCTCTGTCTGTCTGGCAAGCACACGCGCCCTAGAGCGAAAACCTCACTAAAAAAAAAAAAAAAAGAAAAAAAAGATCCCGAGAGGAGAATGGAGGAGAAAGGATTGTGGTGTGGCCATCCCCCCGGGTGTGATTTCTCGCTTTCTGTCTCTCTCTCTGTCTCTCTTTCTGGTGAGCATACGCGCCCTATAGCAAAAACCTTCCCCCCCCCCAAAAAAAAAAAAAAAAAAAAAAAATTATATGACTGTGAAAGATCTTATCTCGTGTCTTAAAATGTCAGCCTTGGCCTTTAACTTTTAGGTTGCTCAAAACTTTGATCATTCAGTCATTTCTTCCAAGTCATTTTACTCATTTAATTATTTTATATCATTAAGATAAACTGCTATCTCTGTCCTTTCTGCCCTAATTAGTTAGAATTAAGCAAGACTCCAAGGAACTCTGAGAAACCGCTAAGCCCTCCACAATCAACAACTTGTCTTGCAAATCTTTCAACTGAGTTGACCAGTTTAAGATGCTTCTGTGAAGTCTGTACATTAATTCGGAACACATAAAACATTAAAGTTGATGAATGGCCTGTTGTGCCTTGGGCTAGAACTTTGAGGTGGAGCAGCGCTTCTTCAGCTTCCGTAAGGTGGATTAAGTGTATGACTACTTCCGAATTTTTGACACAAAGTTATTTAACAGTTTTCACATTTCCTGTAAAGACTTCCGCTCCTCACCTGCAATTCTAGGTAAATAACTGAGTATTTTCTACCCGTCTCTACTCCAGTAGTATCTTGTTGAACCGAATCCAGCCTCCATCGCCACCTGTCGTTTAGAGAGGGGCAGAATTCCTTATCGCTGTCTCGAAATCCACTTCAACTTCTTAGGGCTATACAGTGCATGTAGAGTTTAAGACAGGAGATACCACTGAGGATACTTAATCCGAAAATCTGAAATATGAAACGCTCCGAAATCCACAGCTTTCTGAGCACCAACCTGATGCCACAAGTGGGAAATTCTAGACGTGACCTCATGTGACAGTTCGCAGTCAAAACACAGGTGTGCAGCACACAGTTCATTCAGGGACTTCAAAGTAAAAAAAAAAAAAAAAAAAAGTAGCCCCCTCTGGTGTTTCTTCTCCCCTCCGAGGTAAGATACGGGGTAGAGGTACCTGTCAGCCGAGACCCCGCATCGTGGGGAGAGACCGAAGGCCTGCCATTCGGCGCTGCCGCCTCACCCTCAGCGCACTGTGTGTTCGTTGTGTTGATAGAGCATCATATTTTTCCTCTCAAGCCCTTGTGTATGTGTAAGTGTAAGAAGATGCTTGCTTAGCAGCATACCAGCTCAGTCAGGAGCGATGGCAGTGCCAGGTACCCACAGATTGTTCACATGGGTGGCCGAGAGCGAGCGCCACGTTTGCGTTCGGATGGTTCCGTGCACACAGAATTATGTAAGAGTATCAAGTTCCCTCGGGCTGTGTGTACAAGGGGTGGTATGAAACATGAGTTGCGTACTCGGGCTCGGGGGCGTGTCCCCGCTAGCTCGTCACGCGTGCAGACGTTCCCCCACCGCAGTCAGGGGCGCTCCATTGACGTTCAAGTCCTGGTTCTGAGCTCCTGTGGAAGGCTGGCCTGGGTGGGTCTACACGTAAAGCACTAGAGTAACTTGGATCCCTTCTCTCTCCAGGCTGGCTACTACTGAAGAATGATCCTGTTCAGCCTCCTGTTGCCTCTACTGAATCCCTCCTCTATTACGTGTGAATGAACCAAGACATTTTAAATCCTGCCAGAAACAGTAAGAGAATATGCCAGTGCACTATGATCAAACCCGATGGTCTTTGCCGCTCACCATTAATAAAACCTGGTTACAGCTAGACTCCAAGAATGCCCCCAAGTGAGGACCTTCTAGATTGTGCTTACACACACCTTAGAGCGTTGGGCTAAATCCCAGCTCCTGAGGAGGCAAAGGAGTCTTAGAACCCCCCGCCAGTGACTTCACACCAGGTCGTGGGACTCCACTCCCCGCCCTGCTGCTGCCATCATTCTGCGAAGCTTTCCTGAGCTCAGCACTGCCCAGGCTGCTAGCGGTCCTCTAAGGCCTAGCAGCGAGGTTACCTAGCCCCGCTGCCTTCGAGGTTCGAGGCACTGCAGTGGGTATTGTGGTGGGGTGGGGTGAGGAGTAGTGGTTGCTCCTCTTCCGTGGCGACGTGAGGACTTGACCTCCAGGAGCTGGCCCTCTGGTCAGAAGTGCCATCTGACCAGGCTTTGTCCTTTCTCACCCATTCTCTGTCAGCCTGCGTCGTGTGGTTTGTGACAGCCTGCTGTGGCTGCTCACAGATGCCTTTTCTGACTAATGTCACTCAGAGCATCTTCTCATCTAGGGCCTCATAGGAGATGGTGGCCAATTTCATGCAGGTATCACCTGTCACTCTCCGGTTGGAGGTACAGAATGCTACATCTTATAAACCCTGGCTGGTTGGGCGGCATGGTGCGTAAGGCAGCTGTTAGATCATCGGGAAAGTATGACGCATTTCAGCATAGAAAGCCCTTTCCCAGTGACCTAATAGATCCCACGTGGCCAACTCTGCAGTTCAAGCCCTGGACCCGGGGGCTCGGAAAACACCAGGCACATGCACATACATGCCCCAAATCCTAAGAGAATGGAGGAATAGGGATTGAAGAGTGGCAATCCCCCTGGGGTTGATTCCTCTTTCTCTTTCTGTCTCCAGCCAGCATATCTACACTATAGCAAAAAAAAAGAAAGAAAGGAAAAAATACATATATTTATCTTCCCTCAGTACTCTACAGTTAGAAGTTAATAATCTTCAAAGACAAATCTTTGATGTTTCTTATTTCTGTAGCACAATGCAACTGAGTTTCAGTTTCTTAAACCTCAGAGAGATCCCTTTCTGAATAAATTGAACCCACAGAATTTAAAATTTTCCTCGCATAAAAAGAGGCCTTGGATATTAAACTTTGGGGCTTGGGGGCTTCGTGGGGCAGGTACTAGCGTGTCCTGAGAACAGTGGCACACGCCGGCACAGTCGGCCACGCAGAGGGGAGGGCCGATGGGGAGAGGGTCTCCTGAGCACGTGAGAAATTCTCATCAGAATCTCGAACGGCCAAGATCCCAGGGAGACGGCCACGTGGGAAAGTGCCACCGAGGCCCACAGAGACGGGGCTGTGCTGTGTGGCCGTGCTGTGCCCCGGGTCCTGGCTGCAGGGGCTCCGCCTCCCGCTCTTCGCTACGCAGAGGCTCCGCCCACTCAGAATGTAACCCACGTTATGGAATGTGTAACCAGGGCCAGCTGGGGGCGTGGGGGTTAAGGTGCTGGACCCCACGTGGCCAACTGTTTGGCACAGTTTAAGTCCCAAACCTGGTGGCTTGAAAAACATGTAGGCACGTGTGCATGCATGCCCAAAATCTTGAGAGGAGAATGGAAGACAAGAGATTGTGGCGTGGTCATCCCTCATGGGGGGGTGACTTCTCACATTCCCTC